GTGCCTTGTGAAGCCCTGATTGGCTAAAGCCTTTCACCTGACCACAGGTCAGCGAAGGTCCTATAGGCAGAGTGTGAGCATAACAGCCAGGCATTTGCCATTTCCAGATTGGGGGTAAGCAATAGCAGCTTCCATTATTTTTTAAAGAAGATTGATTAGTAACGTGCTGGTAATACATGCAATTTAGCAGGGATAGTACAGTATTCCACAAACAAATGGTATCTGTAATGCTACTGTGTAAGCATATACGTGTCTGCACTGGACTCAGGAGAAGGAATGTATGTCTAGGTCTGGATGGTGTGTAAATGATCTAGCATGTGGGCTTAAAGTGATTTATTCTTGTATGGTTTCCGTGCAAACCAATCTGACTTTGACATCTAAAATAAATCAGGTTGGCCCAGTTTGGCATTTGGCCAGGTCCTTTATGTGCCACCATCCCATAAATTACTTCTAGACTGAGCAGAGGTCATATCAATATGGGGACTTTATATATACCATATTGTTAGGCACAGCATAGTGTTTTTCAAAGAATTAAAGAACGCCGGCCATACTTGAAGATGAATTGATCCATCAAACGTGACAATTTGTTATACTTATTGGCTTTGTTTTTTATTCTATTTTTTACATTATCTTTCCTCCTCCATCTCAGTTATTGTTTATAATGTGTCAGCAGTTTATGTTCTGATGATATTTTGATGCAACACAGAAACCTCACACCAGATAATATTTATTAAAAAAGACCTCCTGGTGAATAAAAAACGTATGATCACTTAACCCTTGCAGTGCGGGGGGTAGGCCCACTGCAAGGTTTAAGTGCTCGTTTGGGTCTAGGGACTAAAATAAAGTTACTTTATTATAACTTTATTACAAGAGTTACTTACCTGATCCCGGCTTCCCCTGGCCCCCAGACCAGTCCCTGCAGCCTCCTCTCCACTAGGCTCTGGCGGTTTAAGACCATCATATTTTATGCAGGTCCACTGACCTGCATTAGGCATGAGGACGCCCAGGGACATTGCACAGCCAGAGCGAAGGGGGGAGAGGCGAGCACTAACTTCCGTAGGACCGAGGATCATGTAGATAAAACGGCTTTATTTGAGTCCCCTAGACAAGACAAGTACTTAACCGTTGAAGTGCGGGGGTTGCCCCACTGCAAGGGTACGTTTTTTTTATTTGCATGTTCTGCTTCAAAATAGGTTCAAGGCAGACATTTGCTGATGTTACATGGAGTATGACAACCTCCTGAATGGTAAAAAGAGGAGAGACGAGGCACACCCCCTGGTCATTCAGGTTAGAGGACAGAGGAGCAATTAGTGTTAGGTTTGCTCCTGAATAGGTAGGCTCCATTCACACATAGCATTTGCGTTTCCTGTGCGGTTTTCTGTGCAGAAGACCACACGAAAAATGCTAAAATCTTTACATCTGCATGAATTCCGCTCGTTTGCGGCCATAACTATAGCCACAAATGTGCGGAAACCGCCCCTTTAAATCACGCTTGGACTATTTTGTGGGATGCACGGTATTATACCGCACGGTATAAAAATGCATTGTTTTATGTCTAGCATATTTTAGACTTTTTGTGCGTCTTGCACATTTTTGCATGCTGGGCGCACACACGGGGAAATGCACGTTTTAGCATGCAGATTGAAAGACATTGCGGTCAATGGACAAAGGGACCCTGTGTGGCCCCGAAACGTCGGCTCATGTTGGATTTCTGTGACATCATTGTCCATTAAAAGGACTCATTCATTTTAACTTATGGAGTGCTGGTGACCTATTTCTTCAAACTTGAATTTTTGAAACTTTTTTTTTACACTTAACTTTATTGCTGTCACATAGGGGGATAACAATCTCCCTATGTAATAGCAAAGATGATGTGACAGGTCCTCTTTATGGAGACCCCAAAGAAGCAGATGAAGTAGAGATCTGCTTTATCAGCTTTTTCTTCAGCTACAGCAGCAGGTAGTTTGAAACCGGAAGTGATGTAATACACATCACTTCCGCATTAGGAGTTTGGAGGGGAGATCAGATGCTGGAAGTGTGCTGATCTCCCTTCGATCTGAGTGCAGAGACCTGATGTGCCCGTCCCATGCCTGCACAGGGGACAGTAGAGCCTGGGATAGTCGGCACTGGCTGCGGAGGCGGGGGTTGCACACTCCCATGCACCATACAAGGGATCAGGCGGTTCTATAGCCACCGAACACTTGTATGTAACAGCCGTCGCCGGCTGTTTAAAATGTTCAAACTTTCCCATTTATAAATGCCTACCCATCATCAAGGGTGAGCCGCCTAGCAGTTCAATTACAATGGCTGAACGGCAAGTGATTAATAGCATATTAATGAATACAGAGTTGCATACATTTGTGTCTTTCATATCTACCTGGAGTTCAGCTTTAAATCCTGCCAGCCTGTCACTGCGGCATTATTGACAGCAAAGCGCCAAACTACCAAGAAATGAGACATATTAGTGACAACGTTACATTACATTACAAGAAGTAAAGTTTTTATAATAAAAGGTTAATTTGCTACCAAGGTCAGCTACAGTTTTATCTTGACATAATATTGTCAGTACACATGTTTATATGAACAATGTATACTTCACATATACTGCAGAGGAAACCTTGACATTTCCTGTCAAACAATGAGCACAATATTTTGAGATATTCAGAAAGTAACATCCATTATGTATCAAAGTAACAGAAAACTTGTAACTTTTTATGTGGAATTCACGGTGTGAAAAAATCTAGAGCATGCAGGTTGAAAACCTTACGTGATCTATACATTACGTTTTACAAGTAGGGGAAGTGGGAAGGACAGTTTCAGCATGAGTTCAGAGATTATCGGAGGACTTTCAGCCGAGTGATACACAAATGAGATAAATTTTTGTTAATAGTTAATTTTAAACGTGTGCACTGGCAAAAAAATCGTTTCGTTTTGATTCGGATTTTGTGTTAGTTAGTTTTTCAGGATTCGGGTGTGAAAGTCAATTCGGATTCGGACGAAATTCGTTAGCGGTAGTTCTTTCGAACGTTCGTTTCGTTCATTTGTTCCAGCAAAGTGACATTTGAGGGGGGAAAAATGTTTTTCTCCTTCTCTAATGTAACTTTGCTGCAACGAACGAACAAAACGAATAAGAAACGAAAACTAAACGAACGTTCGAGTGAACTACCGCTAATGAATTTCGGTAACAGAAATTCGGATTCGTTTGCATTCATTATATCTGTAATTCGGAATTCGCACACATCCAAATGTCCGAATTTCCGAAAATTCGTCCGAATTTTGTTTCGGAACTTAGCGAATCGCACATGTCTAGTTGAGATACTTTTAATGTATTTTTCAGATTTAACTGCTGCGTTTAGTGTCACTTTAAGTCCCCTAACTGTTAACAAAAATTATTTAAGAATTAAATCTTAAAAATACATTCAAGTACCCCTAACTATAATCACAAATTTATCTTTTTTGTGTATCACTCGGCTGTAGATCCTGAAATCATCTCTGAATTGGTGCTGACACTGTCCTTCCTTCTGGAGGGTGGATACTTTTGTCCACATAGTCCCTGTGTGTGTTGTGAAGTAGTCACCGCTCCAAGCTCGCTCCTGTGATGGACTACAATCTCAACACAAATTAGTAAACTAAACGTGAAATTGTAGTCCAGCATGGAGGCAAGCTTGGAGCGGTGACTACTTTACATCACACACAGGGACCATGGAGAACAAAAGTAGTCACCCTCCAGAAGGAAGGACAGTGTCAGCACCAATTCAGAGATGATTTCAGGATCTACAGCCGAGTGATACACAAATAAGATACATTTCTGTTAAGAGTTAAAGCGACCTTTACCCATATATTTAAAATAACAACAAACACACCTTTAGAAATGTTTAGTAATGACAATCTACAAACACATACAGTACTTCTAGATAATGGCAGGTTTTGTATTCTTTGCATACCTTATTTCTCTTCTCTTCCCCAGTCTTCTGACAGTGGCCATGTTTACAAAGGCCAGATTACTAGCTCTCCTATTACTTCCTGGATTTCTGGCACATGTGACTAGGACATGTGACCATGCACATCATCTCATGGGAGGAAAATGCCTTTCCCTGAGATCTCATGAGATTACAGATGAGATTTCCCAGCGATGCTCTGCTGATGACAAGGCAATGCCAGTGTGCATTGCTTTGGCAAACTGAAGTCATTTTGCCCTTTTAAAGCAGGAAGTTGAGGCTCTGCAAATGTAAGTATTTCACAATCACAACATTTTGCACCTGACATGTCTATGTTATTATTAATCATCATACATAGAGGGATGCATTGGTAGAATTTGATTTTTGAGTGTAAAGTTCTACTTTAAAGGAGAACTATGAGGTGAGTGCTTTTCACTCATCCTCATAGTTCTAGCCGACCTGTGACAATGAAACTGTCACAGGTCGGCTCAGTAGATTGGGAAGTGAGCGAATACATACCGGTGTTCGCTCACTTCTCGATCCTGTCACTGCAGAGAGCCGTGACAGGGGAGTGACTGGATTACCCCCTCCCCTGTCCGATCCTCCAGCACTGACTGGCGGAACGGACGGGGGAGGGGGCTGGTACAGCTGGCATGAGAGCCAGCTGTCACTCACGCAGCTGGGTGGATCCAGACATAATTGTCGGGATCCGTTTCAGCTGTGGCGACTCAGTATACTGAGCTTAGGGTGACGGGAGGACGCTAGTTTGTGTCCTCCCGTTACCCTTAGGAGATCTATGGGGAAAAGCCCTAAACCCCATAGTTCTCCTTTAAGGTCTTTGAATGCATTTTTTAGATTTCACTTTTAAGTTTAGTGTCAATTTAAGATTTTGTCTTGTATAGATATACTGTATGACATAACAAACATTTGGCATCTGTTAGAAGAATACAGGTAGAATAAGGTAGCATCTGGTCATGTGAGTTTTATGTCTGATTATTAAATTTTGTCCTATTGTATATGCACACTGTATATAATTCTTTGCAATGACCTCTCACCCTGTAGCAGAAACTGTCATGGCAGCATCTAGATACTCCTATCATGGATCCTTGAACAGAGCACCATTGAGGAGGTCAGCCCATTCCATTCTGCGTGTGTATGAACTGGAGAAGATTCTCTATACTGGGAAGACAACACGGAACCATGCGGATGAAGTGTGGCCGAAACTCTATTTAGGAGATCAGTAAGTGTTTTAAAAGGAAAATGTGGTCAAATGATACTCCTTTTTTTTTTTTTTTTTTTTTTTTTTTTACGGGGTTTTTTTTTTTTTTTTCTTT